CCTCCTTCCCCTCCCAGGCAGCGACAGCGGTATGATGATCCTTTCTACACCAAAGAAGAAGCAAAATGGGCCCCCTCTGCCTCCTAAGAGGCATGAGTGGCAGCAGCCCCCCCACATACCACCACTAATATTTACCCCAATAACCAGGGTATATCTGCTTTGGTTGGTGGGCAAGGCCTGCTGCATTCTTCTCCTTCTGCTACATGCAGAGTCCTCTGCTGGGTTGGCCTTGTCGGGGGCACCCAGAGCCGCAAGCCATTTTGATGCATGGGACAGTGCACATCACTCGGAGCTGTTGTTTCAAGCTGTCTGCAGATTCAGGCAAACATCTCTGCATCGGTTACATTTGGGGGGCATAGCCCATACAATTTCAAAATTTTCTTCACAACTATGAAATCTAGCAACTTTCCTTTTTTTAAAAAAAAATAAGAACTGAGATTCAGATGTAATCACAAGATTCCAGGAGCAGAGGTCCTTGACATAGGCCTCTGGTGCCTATGTAGGGTGGCCAACTTTCTAATTTGTGAAAACCGGACACTGAGTGCCGGAACTTCCCCCGCCCCCTGCTCCGCCTCTTCCCCCAAGGCCCTGCCGCCCACTCCTATTTCCATCCCACCGTCGCTCGCTGCTCTTTCCATCGTCCTCCCCCGGCCAGCTGAGCAGGGCTCTAGGGGTGGAAGTGTGACTGGGCAAGACGCTGGAGAGAGAGAGTCGGACTCTGGGGGTGAGTAACTGGGGCAAGATGGGGGAGAGAGAGCCAGGCTCCGGAGGTGGGGGATGACGGGGGCAGGCTGGGAGAGGGAGAGGCATGCTCTGTGGGTGGAGGAGTGAGTGGGGCAGGACGGGGCAGGGACAGCAATGCTCGGGACAGGACCAGGGAGCCGCCAGAACCTCTCTCTGCGGTAGCTGTTGCTGAGTGCTCCTCCAGGCTCCAGCAGCAGCAGCTGCTCTTCCTGCCCCCCAGCGGCAGAGGCGGTTACTACAAGTAACTGGACTTTTAGTGTCCGGTCAGCACTGCTGACTGGACCCTGACAGGTTCCCTTTTCGACCAGACTTTCCAGTCAAAAACCAGGCACCTGGCAACCCTATGCCTTAATCCAGCCATGATGGGTTTTATTTAATAGGAAACAGGGTACTTTGCCTGGAAAGCAGGACCAGGGTTGAGGATACCAGTGCTATATCTGCCCAAAGCTATTAAGTGTGCTATAACTGCCCAATCCTGCTTATCCACCATTTAGCTAAGATGAAGTATAAATCAATAAATAATGTGGTGGGTTGGATGTGGGCACAGTGCAATGAATTTCTGACACAACCAGAAGTGTTTAGTGCTATGAATTACTGTGTTGTTTCAATAATATAGTGAGGTTGGCTGTCTGGGAAGTACTGGCAGGAAGAGGGAAGTCTAACAAAAAAGCTGAAACAATTTCTGAAAACTACAAAAGTACAGGACCAAAGTTAAAGCTCCCTTTCTACATTGTTATTGATTACTCTCACACAGGAGCTTCTGCCCAATTAAAATATAATTACTAAACTTCTATCCTACCATAACTTGCTGATGCACAACAGTACCTGGAGTCCAGTGAATCCCTTAACTTTATTCTATGAGTATGTCTTAACTGCACAGTTAAACTGGGCTCTTACTAGGTTTAGCCCACACTCCCCTACCATCTACACAGGAAAACCTCTGGACAGGTCTGGAGAGTCTTTAAGCCCAGACTAGTTTACACAGCTGTGGGGTGGATTAGAACCTGAGCTCCACTTTCTCTTGGGTTGGAACCCTCTCACTTTGCAGTGAGAATGCCAGTTAACTCACTCAAGTACTGATAGTCCTCAAACCCTTCCCACAACTTCCCCTGAAGGACAAAGTTCTCCCACAACTGACCTGGAAAGAATCATAGAAAGTCTCAACACAAAGAACCATGGGCTATGCTCCCAGACACACATGGGTGAATGCAGAAACAGCGAGGATGCAGTAACATGGGTGGGGCTTTCCTGTGGGGACTCTCACCCTGGACTAGGCTAAGGTGGGTGCCAATCACCCAGGTTAACTGTGCAGGGAACACATACTCTAAACACGTAACCAATCCTAGCTGCCTCCCAGTCATCCATGGAAAACTCCAGTCTTCAGAATAAATTGTTTCCCTCTTTATACACTCCGTCAATTGATTTACAAAACAATTCCAAAATAATCACACCATAAGCATGCACAAGTGATGCAGGGCAGCCTTAAAATACTTGGGACACATTTCATCTGTGAGTCAGGGTGCATAGCTATATATGGAGATTGAAATGTTAAGGCAATAAAAAGAATTTCCAATAACACTGTGGAAAATTAGTTGAAACAGAAATTTAAGAAGAGCAAGATAAGTCCTAAAACAGGTAAAAGCTGAGCATGTCACGCCAGTTTCAATGTTTTACTTCAGTTCTTCCTGATCCTGCCTCTATTCTGAAAACAGATTGGCTTCGCTTGAATTTATTCATGCTCTTTAAGTCAAGGGCCTCATTTGGGTAATGTAATCCATATGTTTGTTATAGCTGTGCTTGCTATAATTAAGGATCAGATAAGTTGAATTATGAACCCCATCCTCTATATACAATCTTGACCATTTAAAGGCACATTTTGATGACTAGGCACAGAAGATGTGAGCAAGGATGCAGCTGACATGGTCTAAAATATTATTAAATTATTTTTCAATTCAAAGTCAAAATAACAGTATTCTGAGAAGGTAGAAATATCTTTTTTTTTAAACCCTGCTGTATCGCCCTCCAACCCCCGATAATTTTTAAAAGTAAAGTGTCATATGTTTCTCCAACACTATGTATTTTGCAAGGAATAGCGTATTGTAATGGGAGAGAAGAAAGCATTAGGAACTTTACATGGGAATTATAGTTTACAATTTTAGAGCGTACCTGTTCCTTTAGTCTGAATTCTACATAGCTGGATTTGGCCTGGGCAACAGGCTCGGTATTTGTGACATGGTGAGGACCCTGCTGGATATGGAAATACATATGAGTCTCTCCTGTTGCATGGTCAGAGAGAATAAAATCTAGCACATGCTGAGAAAATAAGCAATTAGCAAAAGTATTACCTGTAGCACTGGTTTGATCCTCAAGAAAAGGGTTTTGTTTTGCTTGTTTGTTTATTTTCCAGACAGCGGTGACTGTAAGACTTTTGAGTGTGAAAGGGTACAATGGAGATGGAGATGCAGTGAAAGGGTACAGCTGATGATGGCAGTGATATAAGGGAGGCAGGAAGCAATAATTCAGAGTAGAAGGGGGTGCGATGAATAGACACGACTTACAGGAGATTAGGCAAAGCAAAGCTTTGATGGATGCACTAAGGTGCGCGGCTAAGGTTGTAGTTGGATCAAAGAAGGCTTAAGGCAGCAATCTATATAATCCTCCAAATGAAGAATTTAGCAAATTCCAAAGATAATTTAGGGGAGAAGGGGTGGAGAGAGAATTGTTGTTTGTGACCCAGCAAATGGCCACCTTCCCTTTAGAGAACACATGCCCCAGCCTACCATTAGGGGGCACTATGCTGCTGGAGATTCTGACTTTTATTTGAGACTTAAAACTGAAGTCCTGACTGCTGATGGTCGACTCAAAGGTGCCAATGCACTTTTTACGGGGAGTCGGAATGTTAGCTCCACAGTGGTCAGGGACTCAGTTCTACATCTCATCTGAAAGATTAACATATAAAATAAATTGCCATGTAAGGCCAACTGGAGCCAATGGTATAAATGAGTAAAACAGCTAGACAGACATTTTTATAGAAGAGGATTAAGAGAGATGGCAAACAAGGAGGTGAAGATGCAATCACTATGATAGGTCTTGCTGAGCTAACTGGCCTTTGCGTATCCATCATTCTTTATGAACTGAAGAACCTACACATAGTACATTCCTTGGGACGACTGCTCATGATTAGATCCATTTAGGGTGACCAGACGTCCGATAAAATCGGGACCGTCCCGATTTTTAGCTGTTTGTCCCGTGTCCCGACCGATCTCTGGTCGGGACACAATTTGTCCTGATATTTTGCTCCTCCGGCAGCACTCAGCTTTTTTTTTTTTTTTTCGCTCCCCCCCCCCCAGTGTCCTGAAATTTTCTTCATCTCATCTGGTCACCCTAGATCCATTTGCTTTACACAATGGTTGTGTGACACTGATGAACCAAAAGTCAGTAAATCACAGCATGCCACTCAATAATGTAGCTAACGTGGGACTTATTTCCTTTTAGCATGACTTTTCACACTGATATATAACATATCATAATGTGATATCCATTTGCTCCCTGCATTGCCGCCTTGACAGCATTTACAGCTTGAGAAGCAAGAAATAGGCTGGGAATCAAACCTGTGCCTTCCAGATAGCAAACACTACCATCAGGCTAGCTTTATGGCACAGCTTGTAAATTACAACGTTTTCTACTGGACATACCCAGCTCCACAACGATGAGCTGGAAGGAGTCAATAATACGACATCATGGCATACTGGATAGACAGACCAAACAAAGTTAACGTTATCCATACACAAAAAGCCTGACATTGTAAAGCATTCTGTAGATGAGTATTAGCTTCATAATGAGAATGGTTAGATATCTAAGCCTGCATGTATTTATTACCACAGTATAAAAACAACCACCAGCACTGTACACCAATTATCCACATACTGAAATTCTGTACATACCTGTGATACAAAAGGCCTAGGGGGCAGGGCAGGTGGTGGTGGTAACCAACCTGACTTCACAGCTGAAATGAGAGAGAAACAAATAAAATTAACTAATACAACTAAAAACTAGACCAGCGGTTTGCAAACTTTTTGAGCTGAGCCCCCTCTTTGAGTTACAATTTTTGGATGCACCCCCGCAACCCAGACAAAAATAGACACATGCAAAAGTATGCTTGATAGCCTACTCATAAACCTAACAGAGACCTTGATGCCAACTTCTAATTAAATTACCTACACCTGTAAGTTTCAAAAACACAGACACTTACCAATTGCACAGCCAAGGTTTCCTCAGCAGTGGGCCGCTTCTACCTTGCAGTCAGGCTGCACCACTAGGGCAGGGCCAAAACCTGTCCCTCTGCCCCTCCCCCCCAGGTTTTCAGGGTGGGGGAAGGCATGAGCCACTGGGTCTGGGGGCAGAGCAAGTGCTGGGCACAGAGACTGATGGGCACAGAAATCGGTATGGCCGCGGCAGATGTTTACACTGACCCAGAGGCTGGCTGGCCCACTGAGGTAAGTCAGGAGGGGGCCGTGGGAGAGCTGGCCTGGGCCCCGCCACCCGGTGCTGGCACGACACTTGGCATCCCCACTCGCCCCCTCTGCCCCCGAACATTCCTTCATCCCCTCAGGGAGGCATGCCCCACAGTTTGAAAACCTCGGAACTAGACTATTTTCTCTGCTGACTGTCAGTGAACAGGTGGTTTTCAACATTTTTAATGATGAAAATCAACCTGGGTCTTTACTGAAAACAAATCTGAGCAAACACTGTTTGAAATCTCTTCCTGCTACAGCACACCCTCTGAAAAAGACCAGAGATTTAAATGCTATAAAAAGCTTACTGTTAAAATAGAAGGTAAAGATATATTCAGTCAGCTGCATGCAGCTAAAACAATTTGACTGTAGTTAAAGTACAGAGCTGGGGTGAAAGTCTACTAAGTCTACTTATTTTTAGGACTCTGTTCTTTGTCATTAACATTACTGCCTTTTTAAAAAACTAATGCAGTGTACTAACGTAGACATTAGGGTTTGCTCAAGATAAAATACACTGACAAGTCACAAAGCCCAGTCAGAGAAGAAAATATCTCCCATGGAACTAGAATGGATGCTTAAGTGAAGCATACAGAGATCAGTTTTAGCTTTGATTTGTTTTGGGTTTTTTTGAGGGGAAAAATATTTTAACAGTCAATTTTGGGCCCCTTGGGTAATCTAACAAAGCAACATCATGTGATCTTTCATTCTGAGCCAGTGAACTGAGTTGGTAACAACCATGTGGGCCATCCATTATAATTCTCAATCTGGCTCTCGTTAAATCCATAAAATCCATCTCAGGGCAGAACTGCAGGGAAGATGAGGCTTTGTAAAGGCAGCTGTGATAATTAACACATAGATATCAAGTGAATTTGATGGAAGTCTCGACTGATTTTCCCTTCTAGAGGCCCCTATGCTGCGTAGCCTTCCCACCGCTTGCCTTTGAAAAAATACGAGTCAGCCTATCTCAGATTTGTGTTTATTTGTAAAACCTAAAATGTAGCACTAAACCAACAATTAAAATAAAACAGACCTTTTACTATAATAGTGCTAAACAAGGGGTTATATATACACATTTATGTTTAGTTATATCCATATTCTAAAAGACCACATAGACCATTACAAGTTTTGTTACAGCATAACCATTTAACTTATTAAAATGCATTCGATCTAAAATTGTTCATAAGTTTTCCCTAATGCAAACCTGTTCGTTTCCTTAAAAACAATAAAAATAAAAAAGAGGATCTAAAGCACAAAGGCCCAGATTTTTTAAGTTATTTAGGCGTTGTTACACTCAGCGTCGCAACAATGGGATCTACGCTCCTAAGTGCCTAAATCCCTTTTGAAAATGAGATGCAAGTTCCTAAATCAGTTAGGTATTGCAACGCTGAGTGCAACAATGCCTAAATCGCTTTAAAATCTGGACCCAAGTACACAGAGATGTTCATGTAAAAATGCCTGGGTAAAACAATGAATACAGTTGTATTGGCTAACTACAGCTCCAAAGAGGTGTATGACACACAAGATGGAAAAAACAAAGAAGTGCCAAACAGGGATGCAGAACTACTGAATCCTAATTTAGGCTACCTAGGGAAGCTGCTTATATACTGAAGGTATAAAAGACTATTCACAAAGTATCCAAACGGGCAAAGATTAAGTTACTAGAACCCTTCACCCAATGTTTAGTTAGATTTTTTAAAAGCCACTATACAGCTGTGATGTTTTCATCTGTCATCACTCACCTCATCCACCCAACTAGTCTTTGGGTGGGAGCAGAGGGGTGAGAAACCTTCCCTTTCCTTCCCGACCCCAGATTCCTGATTATTACTGTTTATTTAGTGCTGACAGTGTGCCTGGCAAGTACAGACTAATAGTCCCTATTCCAAGTGGAATCTAGTTTAGACACAAAAGCTCCCCAGGTCAGTCACACACATTCTATGTACAAGATGGTTGCATATGCTCAAAGTGATGAACTTATCTTGGGGAAATCTTGCAGGAGTCATGCTTAGGAATTAAACTGAAAAATCTGAATATATTTTACATTGCCTGATGTAGGAGAATGATAAGAATATCATCATCTATGGTTTTCCACAGACTTCAAAATATTTTGCAAAGGAAAGGAAGTGTTATCTCCATTTTACAGATGGAAAAGACGGAGACTGAGCTGAGGTGACTTGCCCAAGGTCACCCAGCAGATCAGTGGCAGAGCCAGCTAAAGAACACAGGTTATCTGATTCCCCGTGCCGTGCCCTATCCACTGGATCATACTGTGCACTGAGTGCTGAGAAATCAGATTGCTCACACCACAAAAGCAAGAAAGGAGCAATTTCTGAAGCCTAGGGAAACTCTTAGTTAGACTAACATCATGATATGCACCATTCAATAACAAGGTAGTAAAATCACCATAGGTCAAGTTCCTTCCAGTTGAGACTATTTCTTACAATTATGCTGTGGGAGCCAGAACTTAAAGCTACAGAGGACATTACAGTATGAGTGGCAGGACTGGCGAGGTAACCCAAACTCATGGGACTAGGCAGTGATGGAGTACAGTACCCATAGCCAATGGTCGTTGGTACTGCATACTGTGTTCGGTTGTTCCTTTAACTTTCTGACTAATTTGGCCCACTTCTTGTGCCTACTAATTTTCTGTTTATCTCTGACATGCCCTCATAGCCATTTGTAAAAAAAAAGGCTCCTCACCTCCTCTTCATGCCAGAACTGTCTTTCATAGGCGCCGACTCGTGGGTGCTTTGGGGCTGGAGCACCCATAGAAAAAAAAATAGCTCCAGGGCTTAGCACCCACTGGCAGTCAGCTACCCCACTTCCCCCCTGGTGTCTCCTGCCCGCCAGCAGCACTGCCAATCAACTCTTTCCCCTCCCTCCCAGTACCTCCCGCCCGCCGCAATCAGCTGTTCCGTAGCTTGCAGGAGACACTAGGAGGAGAGCGGATGGGGCGCGCTTGGGGGAGGGGACGCAACTGGGCGGGAAAAGGCAGGGCAGGGGTGGGTCCTTAGGGGAAAGGGTGGAGTAGAGACAGGGCCTGAGCAGAGGTTGAGCACTCCCGGGGAAAGGAGGAAGGTGGCGCCTGCGCTGTCTTTAACTCAACATTGCTCCAGAGAATACAGCATCTAGTGTGCATTCTGTATCCCCAACACTCATCACTGTATCCCAGTGATACACTTGATCCCCAGAGAAATGATGAGATTCTGTACAGAGGAAATGAGTTTGCCCAACAGGGAAAGCATGTTCTGAAGTTGCTCCCAAGCTTAGAACTTGTACTTGGCACTCACACAACGCTGCCAGAATGGTCCACACAACCTTCCTTATTAAAATTACTTTACTCTGAAGTGCTCAAGTAGAGCACAGAGCATCTTATTTCAGCTTTTAAAATATGCCACATTTGAGAGTTTAGTATTTTAAGCTAGTGAGATACTTAACCATGCGAATTTGACCCAGTTTCCTCTTTTTTTAATCCTACAAATTCTAACTTAAGCTATTCATGAAATATTCATAAAATCCCTGCTGTTTCAGAACATCTATGGCCTGTTGTTAGAAGGAAATCATGCTTATGTTAGCACAATTGCCAGAGAAGATTTGGAGTCAGCTGACTATCAAGAGGTAATAACTTCTTATAAAAACCATGCTCTGTTTTTTCCCAAAGGGCAATGAAAAGAGTGTTAATGACAGGTGATATTGACTTGGACCTTCATTCAAGTATCATTCCCCTAAAAAAGGAGCATGCTATAAAACAAATACATTTTTGCACATTTCAGCAGCTGTCCCGGGAGGACAGCCTTTCTTGGAAATTGGTCTACATAGGGTGTGTCGGTGTTGGGTTCTGACTGTTAAAGATGTTATTGTGTGTACTTTGGAAGTATAAACTAGCACAGCAAACAGTTCTTTCCATGGTGAACACAAATATCAGGCTTCTTTCATAGAAAACGGCAGCAAGTAACTGGAAAAAAGGAGGTTACTTATCATAACTGGATGTTCTTTGAGATATGTGATCCCTATCTGTATTCCACTAGGTTACATATGTGCATCGTATGCCCAGAGAAGGAGAATTTGAAAGTAGTGTCCATTGGTCCATGCACGCACCTTGTGCTTCCCATCTGAGGCGACAAAGGGTGAGGCGAATTGACCATGTCTCCAATTTCTTTTCCATGGTGAATCTGACAGATCCAAAGCAGAGGGGAAGGAGGGCGAGAAGTGGAATACAGATAGGGACCACACATCTCAAAGACCCTCCAGTTACAGGTAAGTAACCTCCTCTTCTTCTTTGAGTGATGGTCCCTATTATATTCCATTGTGCATGACTGACCAGCAGGACCTAAGCTGGAGGAGGGTGCAAGGATGGAAGGGTCATGCAGAGAACCGCCGTGCCAAAGGAGACATGCACTGCTGAGTCCTGTACCAAGGCATAGTGTGTTGCAGATGTATGGCCAGAACTCCATGTGGCTGCTCTACATATGCCATGGTCATTGCTTCAGCTCTA